GATACACCATGTATAATGTTACAAAATATTTATTTGCAACGTTTAAATAACGTCTAGCGCAACGCTTCAGTAACATTTCAACGAAACGTTTCTGCAATGTTTCAGCGAAACGTTTCTGAAGGCGGACATTTGCAGTTACTTGTGGATATTTTCCTGACGGTATTTCAACTTAATGGCTTGCCAAATGTGAAGGTAGAAACAACCATACGTACAAACTGATGATGGTGGAGAAAAGCACCGAAACGTTTTTGTAACATTTTAAATGGTAAACGATAAAATTGACTGAAACCCAGGAATTTCTTTTGAATTTGCAGTTACATAAACATTTCTGAAACATATAGTGCAGGTAACTGAAACGTTTCGGGATTTTAATATACATTTCTGAAGCGAAAAATTGTTTAGCGGGTAGATACAACAATTCAGGCTGAACTGACATGGTGAAGTCAGCCAAGTTATATAACCCCCCACGGTTTATTGCTTTGACACTGGTTTCACGGCTAAGGATTGAATCCCTTTTCTCGGAGTTGATTGCTACCTTTAGAGAATCTTATTGCAATGCGCTTGAGGATGACCATTTAGACTTTACAATGGGGTTCTTACAATTATATTGTATTCGTACGCACTTATGGTAGGTCCCCACATTCTTTTATGTCAAAACCTTTCACATCTTTTCTGGTTTTGAAAAAATGAAAGTTTTATAGAGAAATATATTTTTTTAAGCTTTATTGTTTATGATAGAGAGGAAAATAAAATATTACCATAAATAATATATTGCATTGTAGTAGCTTGATTCGTGAAGCTAGTACTATTTATTCAAGTAATTGTTACAATTTTCACCTCGTTTTTTTAATGTGTCCTCAAACTTTTCATGCGGTCTGGTTGCTTGCTTAAAATTTGGCGATTTCGCTCTTTTAAGATCATTCGAATGATCATAATCCGGGCCTGTTTTGAGCACCCCAGCGATTTAGTTCTCAATTCAACGAAACCTATGCAGCGAATATACATAATGCGCTAAAAGGTGGCACCACAGACACGCTGGTATGATTTGTTTTTGTCGGATTTTAATATGGCGCCTTATCGCAAGCACTTCTGGGAGTGTGGATGGTTTTCATATTTCAGTGTTCAGTTTTAAGCCGTATTGGCGACCGTTGAATAGTTTATATTTGTTTACACCAAGATAAATAGTGTTTTTCGTCGTTTTCGAGTTTTTTTCATCGACATAAAAACGCGAGTGTAATGCGGAGTGTATTTTGAAGATGAATAAGTACAAGTTCCATGGACAGGTGTTGGGTTAACCCAGCCATCAACTACCAAAACATATACCTATTTAAAGGATTTTCGTGTAACAACAGATTGTAATGGTAATTTTCAATCAAGGTTGCAGTTTGAGGAAGAATTATACGACATGCAGGTATTTACGCTAATGCGAACTTATTGCAATTCAATACCAAACTTTCTATTGTTCGTTCAATTTTTTTAGAATTTTCCTGGCCATTTAGCCAATTCAGAATTAATGTATTGAACATTTTCAGGACATTTGCGGCTTAGAAGGGGGCACTACGAGGGGGCTGTTGATATGCTGGTACAATGGCCTCAAAGCCTGATTTGAACTCAACAGCCAGTGTCCAAAATGTGGTAGTTTATGTGTCCAACGACCATTTCGCACAGTCCTATGCAGTTGAACAGCAGAATGTACCGCAGCAAAGCAATTTACACCCCTCTGGGTACCCTCACTCGAATCATCCCATGGCCTCCTTGGCTCCTACAAAACATTTTAACGACAAACCACACCTTTATAGTTCTGGTAGTCAAGTGATCAACACTAGTACACAAGAAGGGTACTTTGAGAATGTTATGTCTCAAAATGAATTTCCTGTAAATAATCTTGGATATCAAAGTGGAACTAACCTAAAAAACTGTGCTCCTAGTGATGTTTTATCTTGTGAAAGGCAACATTCAGGTCCTGGTCGGCCTGACAATGCCAAACGGGATGAGTGTGATAATCGCGAACGGTATACAGAGCCCTATGTGACTATTCTAGGTTCAGAAGTGTCCGCTCAGAGTGTTCGTTGTGATTCAGTGCGTTCAGAAACTGCAGAGTCCAGCTGCAGTAGTCTCAGCTCTGTGGATGAAGGGATGGTTGTTGTGCAAAACCACTCACCTGAGATGGTTGTATATGACCCCAGTGTTAGTGTTCGACCTGGAGGGGTTGTCCTAGTGGCACCCCCTTCAATTACACAACATCCCCATGGCAGTGCTGTGGTTGGAATAGGTCATACACAACATATAACAGTTCCATTTGGATGGAAACGACTGCTAAACAATGGATGTATTATTTATATTAGGTAAGTCCCCTTTGAAGACATAAATAACCTTCTTCTGCTTTTGAACAACTTATTTGTCTGTCTATCGTATCAGAGGGCTATTTATAATCATTGCTGTTCTGTTTATCTATTGCTGCTCTAAAGGAATTCGATGAGCTGCATTTTTCTTAACTAGGTTTCTATAAGTTTTTTCTTCGTTCTATTGTTATACAATTTATAATCACTCTCTTATGTTATTTGTATTGGTATTCTAAACAGCCTATCTCCTCTTATATCTTACAAAAGAATAAATATTTAGATTTCATCCACAGACGCAAAAAACCAGATGTACTTAAGTATACATATTGTTATAATTGTAATAGATACTATGTTGCCGTCGTTAATTTGTTTAAATAATTAACAGTGGATTAAAGGAGTTTAGTTTTAATTTATAACTTTGAAAACAACATGATAAGCATATTTATCGAAAAAAGTGGTGCTTGTTATGATCATAATATTACGTCTGCCAGCAACTATAATGTATTCATGTAAAGTAATTCGATACTCAAGAAATAAAAATGTCTCGCATTTCAAGTTTAATTCAGAAACGGCTTTTCAATAATTCAATGAGGTACTTTTTTGTTTACTCTATTTTTATTATCGCTCGATTACCGTTATTGTACATGCCTAGAAATATTTTTGGAATCTATTGTTTGCTATTATCTATTTACATTGTAATTTTGTAGCCGAGTTACAAAACTTACCAATGCAACTAACTCTAATTCTAAAATTTGTACCCCGTGCGTGTTGAACCGATTTATAAACGGTACTGTATTTTACCTATTTCCCATGAATATCTGAAATTGTTTGAAATCCGAATATTTTGTAGAATAGTGGAATGATTTACTTTATCACACTATTGTCTGTTAAGTAAAAAAGGTCAATGCCGTGCTATAAATCTTCAACCATCTCCTCTTTGTCCTTTTAATGTCAGATTTAAATTTACTGCTCAGCACGCAGCATAATGCCTAAAGTTAGGGCAATTATTAGGAAACCGAACATCGCAAAAGCATGGTAGGTTCCTTTGGTGTAAAGTTGTTACCTTTTCACGGTTCAGGTTTATTTGAATTCCTTTTAAGCACTGACCATTTTTGTCTCTGACCAGGTTGACTAAAAGAAGAAGGTAGGCTGCGTGCGTTTTAGATTATTTGGCAATTATTGAGGTGAAAAGAAAGTGACCAGACCAAGGGGTGCTGTCGACAGCACCTCTTCTTGCAACATCAGTACCGTTTTTTTTATGCAATATTGATAGGTTCAGGCTTTTCGATATAGAAATACCATTATTTTATTTTCTTAAGTAGCTTTAATGTTGATAAATAATGAACTTTTTTTGCAATTTTGAAAAATAATTTCTTGTGAAAATCAATAAAACGTTTTTTTCTATTATAGAATTACATAATTTTCTGTCATTGAAAGCGAAACTGCAGCAACACGAAAAGCTTAATTTACTATTTTTAGTGATACATTTTAATACAATAAATCGCTTAATTTATTTTCATCATTCGTTTCATGATAAGGTTCAAAAAGATTGCTTGATGTAAAAATTAAACAGGTCAGTTGGCAAATTATAAAAAACACCATTGACTCAAGTTCCTTGCACTAAAATGTACAGAAATACTTAGTTAACAAAATATATTAAGCAAAAGTGACGGAACATATCTATAAAAGTGAATAATGAATTGAAGGCTGCAATAACACAATTAAGCTAAAAACATAAACCTAATGGTTGAATAAATCCCAATTTTTCAGAATAATTGTAATAACTACTTAAGTACTTAGGCCTTCTTGTTTAAGCGCTGATCGAAAGGAGCTCCCATTTATTGTAATATTTCTCTTTCTTCCAAGGGTTATTTCTAATTACAGTTGAGTCCGGATATAACGAAGTTGAAAAATGAACTAAAACTGGTTCGTTATATCCGGAGTTCGCTATAAGCGAATAATAACACAAAAACACGTGGTGTATTTTATTTCGTTACTTGTACATATAGTAGTAGAAGTTAGTAGGTATAACTAAAAAGAACACAAAAAGATAAACAGAACACAATTTGAAATCTACTTCATAAAGTCTGCAATTTTTGTTTGTTCGTTTCTGCTGCAAAAATAGATGTTATTTATGTAGTTTTCAAGATCACAAAATGACTCCCAGATATGATTAGGAACTTGGCGTGATAGTAGAAAATTCCGACTTTTGGACACTTTTTTTTGTCATTTCGCAAATGGTTGGAACAGCATTAGTGTCAGTTTCCCCTAAATCGTCATGTTCCTCATTATCGCTTAAAGATGTAGATGAGGATACGGCGTCTATAATTTGCTCATTGGTCAACATTTCTCTTGTAAGAATACCATTATCAATGCTCATCATATTCGAAGAAATTGAAATCACTCAATTTGGTTTAAACTTGTTCTTGAGCTGTTGTTGAAGTTCGTTATAAACGGAAAGTGAATATACAACTAACCCAAAAAGTGATCGTTATATCCGGAAGTTCGTTATAAACGGGATCGTTATAACCAGTAAAAAATACGTTGGGTTTTATGGATGACGTTTCAATTAAAGGAGAAAAGTTTGTTTTAACCGAAAGTTCACTATAACCGGGTTCATTATAAGCGGACTTTACTGTAATAATAATACGTTTTTGATCGTATTATAGGGTTAAGAAATAAAAAATTAAAAAATAAAAATTTGTTCTTTCTATTATTTGTTTAACTTAAGAGGGTGCATAAGGAACCCAGAATAAAAGTACAACGTACACGCGTCAAACGAGTACAACGCACACAAGCGGAACGAATATTTCGTTTTGATTAACATCCAATAATATGTACCTACTACCTACTTATTGGGCGTTAAACATATTTCGATATAAACGTACAAAGCCCAGCACTGCAAACCGGTCCAAATGTAAATACTACAAAATCGGTTTGGTCAATCTGATTCGGCATTTTAAATGTCAATTTTCAAACATTGAAATTGTACATATACTTGAGCTTTATACACTTTCTTTCACAAATAACAATAATATAAAGCCGACTAGGACTAAAAGTCAATGAGCTAACTACGTATCTGTTGTATATTGTAGGTTTTTAAGTTTTAGGAGAATATTTTCACCAGCCGATAAATTCTTATACATATTTGAAACTAAAAAAAGTAGTATCAGTATCTTCCAGCCCTATGTTCTGAGGGCGACTGAAACATCCACCAATAAATAACATGCTAATTCTCTCGACTCTTAAAAAAATATAAGTACCATGGTTTTCTCCAATAATTCAGGAGTAAAATCAGCACAATAATGAACAGCATGTCATCATTTTGTGAATTTCTTTGTAGCATTGTCTTTCTAACTCTAGGCACATAACAAGCATATTAGTCAGACACTAATCCGCGAAAATCCACAAAAGCAGTGTGGGCCGGAATTTTTAGAGATGGCTTCTTGAAACTTGATGACCTATTTGTAATAGTCAGAAATCAATGTTTATGAAACGTGAATGAGAATTGAGAATCTTTTTTTAACCGAGGTAGAACCACAATACATTTGGCGAGATAATGATTGCCGCACATCTGCAGTTTTTCTATAGGCACATCTAAATGCAATAATATATACTTACCTACTTACTGTTTAAGTAATTACTACTTTTGTAATGGATCAATAATAATAATAATAATAATAAAAGCAATCATATTTCATTAACAATGTTAAAGCAGCTCAGAAATCTTTTGAATTACTGTTTATCTCTTCTATTGGTAGTGAATATACGAATATTTACCAAATAAGTTAAGACAATTTTCTACGTTCTTGGAGCTGTAATGTTTTTTCCGATTGTTTTTCCTAAAAACAAAAATTTTAAGCCAGAAAATTTTGTTTGGCTTTGGTTGTTATTATTTCAAGATTTTCGGTTCAGCGTGATATTGCTATATTTATTAATTGGCTACAGCATTTCAGTACCTAATCCGAAAAATCCAAATACCAAGTATCCCGTTTAATGAGCAATACTATTCACATGATCCCGTAAATGTATAAATTACAAATTGTTTCCAATTTAAACAATGGAATGTTACTTATAGCGTATAGGTCAAAGTAGGAAGCACGTTATTAGCTTTCTAATAGTTCTGCTTGCCCCGTTTGGTTTGCTTTCTCCACGGTATTCAATATCTTGCATATAAGTATAGGCACATTCCATGCATTCACATTTAATTAATATGTCGTCTTTTTGTCTTCGAAAATGGATTTATAATTTGAGAAACATAAAATACGTAGATTATGTTGGGATTAGTTTAGTTGTGTTATTTTACAGATATATACGCAGTTTTGTTCTAATTTTGAATGGTTTGTTTATATTTACTGAATTATGCGGACAAATGCCCATATGTCTTTAATGAAATATACTGGAAGAAGCTCGAAGTTTTGCCTGTATTTTCGTATTTAGTTGTTACAAGACAAACGAATTCAACGTGCTCAACAGGATGTAAAAAAATGTACTATGGTTGGAAATCAATAGGCTATGGTTGATTCCTTAAACAAGCGCTCGTTATGATATGTAATTAGATTGATTGAGACATAACTGCGATGCCAATACTCTTAAAGGAATGCACAATACCGCAAAGGACTCTTTAGTGATTGTAATTGGCTTCTTCGCCTTATATTTTGGGTGCGTAATTTGTTTGAGGACTTGGTCTGGTGGTCTTCTGTAGGTTAAAGTCTGACTTAAGCTCATTGAATGAGTTTGAGCGAGAAAAATCCGTGCTCAACTCTGCTCAACTTTGTCCACTAAACAAAATGCGCGTCTCTCAAAGTACAGAAGTTACTGTTGAAAGGATGGAAATATCACCACGTTGTCAACAATTATGACAAAATTTCAGCGATTTTGTGTAGCTTTAAATAGTGTGTGGGCATCAAGTACTGTAAATTGCACTTTAACAATTCTGGTTAAAAACAATATTTTGTTTTAATTCTGATAATAAAAAATATAAAAACCATTACATTTTATTA